CTCTGTAAGAATACAGTAAAGCAAAGGCGGCTCGTGAGACCTGGCTGGCGGTTTACTTGGGTGTCTGGTCGACGGAATGATAAATTACTGATTACACGCGCGGCAAACCTGACACCTTATGTTACACGGCACACGCCCATATTTTTTGACAAATTACACGCATGTCGCAGCAAACTTAAAACGGAATCGGAAGAAATGTCGATACAACCAAAGAACTCGTACTGTAGTACAAAACGATCGACACGTGCAGTGTGAGCGTGAGACCTGAGACGCGCAGGCCATAGTTTTAAAATTAACTATCAAGGTCATGGGGGGTGATTCGGAATCAGCGTCCAAAAATACACCGATTCAGATCAATTTCATACCCAAAGGGCCTTTTCACAAGAATTTTCTTAAAATTTGAGCGAGCGATTTAGTAGGAGCGGTGTCCTAAACCCTAAAAACCATTTAATTAACGATGTCAATTCTTCGCAGCTCGGAGAGGCCCAGTTAAGTAGCGCATTTTGCTGATCTAACGAAGCGAGAAGCATAATTGAGTGCGCGGCGCGGCCTAGTATGCAGTAACACATCCCGCTACAATATAAAAACCATCAATTTATACAGCAATACGAGCGCTGATATGCTTTGTACTTGTAGTGTTTTCAATTAACTATGTGTTAAATTTCGATCTGCAAGTTATCCAAATATGAAATAAGTTTTGGACACCTTGAAATTGAAATTCGTTAGGAGCAGACTGCTGACTGCTCTTAAAGAATTTCGACTGAGTCACGTGCGCGTGAACTCGAACGTGAACTCGAACGTTTGCGCAGTAAAATTGCAGATTTAAAAAATAAAATATAATTGATAATTGCGCGGCTTATTGGTAAAATGAAAAAAAATAATATTTGCGCGCGCAAATAATTAAGAAATAAATTAATAAGTAATTTAATAAATAAATAAGTCACTATCTTTACAGGTATCCTTACAGTTGTAGGGCTATGCTCGGTTGCTATAGTAACGTGGACACCCAGTATTGCTACTCACTTGTTTACTTACATCAACAAAGTTGATCGTGGCCCGGTCTGGCTGGAACGAGTTAGAATCTGTGCTTACTTTCTCGGATCATTTGGTAATTTATAAAGGAGCAGCTGAGTGTAGTTTGGTAATTTACTAAAGTAGCAGAGTGTAGTTTGGTAATTTACTAAAGTAGCAGAGTGTAGTTTGGTTATTTACTAAAGTAGCAGAGTGTAGTTTGGTAATTTACTAAAGTAGCAGAGTGTAGTTTGGCCTTGGTAATTTACTAAAATAGCAGAGTGTAGTTTGGTAATTTACTAAAGTAGCAGAGTGTAGTTTGATGATTTACTAAAGTAGCAGAGTGTAGTTTGGTAATTTACTAAAGTAGCAGAGTGTAGTTTGGTAATTTACTAAAGTAGCAGAGTGTAGTTTGGTAATTTACTAGAGTAGCAGAGTGTAGTTTGGTAATTTACTAGAGCAGCAGAGTGTAGTTTAGTAATTTACTAGAGTAGCAGAGTGTAGTTTGGTAATTTACTAGAGTAGCAGAGTGTAGTTTGGTAATTTACTAAAGTAGCAGAGTGTAGTTTGGTAATTTACTAGAGCAGCAGAGTGTAGTTTGGTAATTTACTAGAGTAGCAGAGTGTAGTTTGGTAACTTACTAAAGTAGCAGAGTGTAGTTTGGTAATTTACTAAAGTAGCAGAGTGTAGTTTAGTAACTATTATTAATTAATTTCTCAGATTATTAATTCCCGAACAAGCGATGTTTTATAACGTGACTATAAATTTCAGCTAACCCAGTGCTGTACATGGTGGTTAATAGAGATTTCGTGGCATATCTCCGGATACTAGCAGCACGACGGAGGTGCAAGGACTCCCTCCCTCCGCCCAGACACAACACAGCTCACGTTGCAGTAGTGAGAACCTTTAGGAAGTGTAAAATGGAACGCCTTCGGAGAATCAAGGAAAACACTCATGGTTGTCATGGTAGTAGCCTGGCAATGAAGACTCCGTCTGTTATGTTCGAAGAAATGCGGTCACACGAAAATATTATCAGAGTAGTAGATACTGCTTTATAGGAGGCAATAAAAGGTAGACTGTAGTGTTGTTACACTACAGTATACTAATGCTATTAGTTTTAATTAGTATAATTAGTATTTTAGTCTGAATTGAGTGTTTTAAACTAATTACAACACTACAAATCTATTACATTTATTGAGCTATTTAAGAATTTATTTTGACATTTCGTCCCTGATAAAGGCGTGTAGCCGAAACGTCGACATTATTTTGTTTATTACACTGAGTGGAGACTCTCACTTCGTCCCCAACAATCAAATATGATCAAGTATCAACCCACTCACAAGAACGAAAAATATACATGTTTTCAGAATCCCCTGTAAAAGGAACCTTTTTCATATTTCTACATTTTCGTAGATTCAGCAAATGCAATAAAACAAACATATTAGCGTTTTTTAATGCAGGTTACATTTTTAATAATATAAAAATAAAATATAGAATTGCACATCAGTGGAAGGTTACAGTGATTTTTAGGATCGTAAAAATATATTTTCAAACATCGTAATTAAAATTACAAGAACAGTCAGTTTTTCATGCCGTATTAATATCTTTTTTGTTTGTTCCACAGTCCCAATGTTAGTGTTACTGTGGCAACCGCTCCGATTTTACCATTTCAAGACTTCAAACTGAGAAATTAAGTTTTATTTAGCTGACAATAAATGGTAACATTTAACATTTTGTAAGATCTACAATATAAACGGTTTCGTTTTAAACTCTAAAATCATATCAACATCATCTTGTCATAACCAAGTCACTCTTACCACAGTTTAGTAGTAGAAGAGCTCAATAGCACCAAGTCACTCTTACCACAGTTTAGTAGTAGAAGAGCTCAATAGCAGTCTTACCACAGTTTAGTAGTAGAAGAGCTCAATAGCACCAAGTCACTCTTACCACAGTTTAGTAGTAGAAGAGCTCAATAGCACCAAGTCACTCTTACCACAGTTTAGTAGTAGAAGAGCTCAATAGCAGTCTTACCACAGTTTAGTAGTAGAAGAGCTCAATAGCAGTCTTACCACAGTTTAGTAGTAGAAGAGCTCAATAGCACCAAGGTAGTCCTTGATCCATTCTCCGAAAACTTTGTATTTGAGTCCGGCTTGGGTGATAGCTCCACTCATACTACGGCTGATATCGGCATCAAATCTGAAGATTTATTTACGAAATAGCGGCTAGTTGAACATTCAGTAGATTACAGGTAAGCAGTATATAACAGTTAATTGGCTGTTTAAAGTTACTTTTTAAATTTAATTTCTTACTTCTTCAATACAAAAACTCAATACACAAACTCACTGGGGTCCCAGGAAGTAGGTGATAGAGTATCTATCAAAGTCAACTTCAGCAACTCTGTGTCTGACTGAGGGCACCTTGTTGTCGATGAGGTCATCTACCAGTTTACCGATGTTGACGAGGAAAGCATTGTCTCCTGTCACGGGGGCGGGTCTGTACTGGTTCTTGTGTAGGATCTGACAATGATTTGAAACTTTTATCAAATAATACAGATTTATACAGCAATAAACGTATATAAAAACAATGGCGATAAAGAATGTTTTACGATTTACTTAATCGTAAAATTTTAATATTCTGAGAATAATGAGAAATATTGAGATTGTTTATTTTGATCAGTAGAGGTTTATTTTACCTCAAGACCACCGTTGTTGAAGGTGGAGAGGACGGTGACGGTAGAGTCAATGTGTTCTAGCTCTCTCAGGAGAGTTCCGTCAAAGTCAGAGTACATGTTGCTGTTGATCCTGGAAGAATTTATTATTTATAATCATAGGGACTGCCAAACACAAGGATTTTTTAAAGGAATATCAAGTACCCATCATATATAGCTGAGGTGGAATGTAACTCACTGTCTTCGGATGGGGTATTTTCTGAGTCCCATAGCAGAGAACTCGTCCTCAGAAAAGAGAGCGGGCAGGTTAGGGTACTCCATAGATCGAGCAATGCTCCTGATGAAGGCTCGTCCAATGTTCCTTCTGATTTCAAATCCAGTCTGGAAGGTCTCCTTGAATCCTTTGTCGAAGGTGCAGTTTCCAGTCTCGGGCCACACGTTGGGTTCCTGGCAGTCGTATCTGAGTTTCTCGAGGATGTCGTCACTCTCGAAGCTTGCAGCTCGGGTCTCGTGGGGTCCAATGTTGTAGAGGTTCTTGTATTGAAGGGTGTTCTCAACATCGTCAAGTCCGGGGCAGTATCCTGGATATTAGTAATTTTAGATCATTTTAATCATATGAGCTGCGTCTTACTAGGGGGTAAGTTCTACAAATGGATAGATAATTAGTTGCCACTATCAATTAATTAAGATAATTAGTTGCCAAAGGGCACCACTCACCTCAATGAAAAGAGCAAGGAAGTATAAAACAATAATTCCCCTGGAAGACTAAAGTAAGGTTATTTAACTTTAGATGGATTACAATGAGATAAAACATGTGCGAATTAGTCAGTAAATAAAAACATAATCAATAAAAATTATTTGCTATACTAGAGATTATTTTTATTGTTATTGTTTATTTTTTTTTTTACTGTCTAATTCCGACAAATGGTTGTATCTTAATTGTATCATCTAAAGATAAATAACTTACTTTAGTCTTCCAGGGGAATTATTGTTTTATACTTCCTTGCTCTTTTCATTGAGGTGAGTGGTGCCCTTTGGCAACTAATTATCTTAATTAATTGATAGTGGCAACTAATTATCTATCCATTTGTAGAACTTACCCCCTAGTAAGACGCAGCTCATATGATTAAAATGATCTAAAATTACTAATATCCAGGATACTGCCCCGGACTTGACGATGTTGAGAACACCCTTCAATACAAGAACCTCTACAACATTGGACCCCACGAGACCCGAGCTGCAAGCTTCGAGAGTGACGACATCCTCGAGAAACTCAGATACGACTGCCAGGAACCCAACGTGTGGCCCGAGACTGGAAACTGCACCTTCGACAAAGGATTCAAGGAGACCTTCCAGACTGGATTTGAAATCAGAAGGAACATTGGACGAGCCTTCATCAGGAGCATTGCTCGATCTATGGAGTACCCTAACCTGCCCGCTCTCTTTTCTGAGGACGAGTTCTCTGCTATGGGACTCAGAAAATACCCCATCCGAAGACAGTGAGTTACATTCCACCTCAGCTATATATGATGGGTACTTGATATTCCTTTAAAAAATCCTTGTGTTTGGCAGTCCCTATGATTATAAATAATAAATTCTTCCAGGATCAACAGCAACATGTACTCTGACTTTGACGGAACTCTCCTGAGAGAGCTAGAACACATTTGACTCTACCGTCACCGTCCTCTCCACCTTCAACAACGGTGGTCTTGAGGTAAAATAAACCTCTACTGATCAAAATAAACAATCTCAATATTTCTCATTATTCTCAGAATATTAAAATTTTACGATTAAGTAAATCGTAAAACATTCTTTATCGCCATTGTTTTTATATACGTTTATTGCTGTATAAATCTGTATTATTTGATAAAAGTTTCAAATCATTGTCAGATCCTACACAAGAACCAGTACAGACCCGCCCCCGTGACAGGAGACAATGCTTTCCTCGTCAACATCGGTAAACTGGTAGATGACCTCATCGACAACAAGGTGCCCTCAGTCAGACACAGAGTTGCTGAAGTTGACTTTGATAGATACTCTATCACCTACTTCCTGGGACCCCAGTGAGTTTGTGTATTGAGTTTTTGTATTGAAGAAGTAAGAAATTAAATTTAAAAAGTAACTTTAAACAGCCAATTAACTGTTATATACTGCTTACCTGTAATCTACTGAATGTTCAACTAGCCGCTATTTCGTAAATAAATCTTCAGATTTGATGCCGATATCAGCCGTAGTATGAGTGGAGCTATCACCCAAGCCGGACTCAAATACAAAGTTTTCGGAGAATGGATCAAGGACTACCTTGGTGCTATTGAGCTCTTCTACTACTAAACTGTGGTAAGAGTGCTATTGAGCTCTTCTACTACTAAACTGTGGTAAGAGTGCTATTGAGCTCTTCTACTACTAAACTGTGGTAAGAGTGACTTGGTGCTATTGAGCTCTTCTACTACTAAACTGTGGTAAGAGTGACTTGGTGCTATTGAGCTCTTCTACTACTAAACTGTGGTAAGACTGCTATTGAGCTCTTCTACTACTAAACTGTGGTAAGAGTGACTTGGTGCTATTGAGCTCTTCTACTACTAAACTGTGGTAAGAGTGACTTGGTTATGACAAGATGATGTTGATATGATTTTAGAGTTTAAAACGAAACCGTTTATATTGTAGATCTTACAAAATGTTAAATGTTACCATGTATTGTCAGCTAAATAAAACTTAATTTCTCAGTTTGAAGTCTTGAAATGGTAAAATCGGAGCGGTTGCCACAGTAACACTAACATTGGGACTGTGGAACAAACAAAAAAGATATTAATACGGCATGAAAAACTGACTGTTCTTGTAATTTTAATTACGATGTTTGAAAATATATTTTTACGATCCTAAAAATCACTGTAACCTTCCACTGATGTGCAATTCTATATTTTATTTTTATATTATTAAAAATGTAACCTGCATTAAAAAACGCTAATATGTTTGTTTTATTGCATTTGCTGAATCTACGAAAATGTAGAAATATGAAAAAGGTTCCTTTTACAGGGGATTCTGAAAACATGTATATTTTTCGTTCTTGTGAGTGGGTTGATACTTGATCATATTTGATTGTTGGGACGAAGTGAGAGTCTCCACTCAGTGTAATAAACAAAATAATGTCGACGTTTCGGCTACACGCCTTTATCAGGGACGAAATGTCAAAATAAATTCTTAAATAGCTCAATAAATGTAATAGATTTGTAGTGTTGTAATTAGTTTAAAACACTCAATTCAGACTAAAATACTAATTATACTAATTAAAACTAATAGCATTAGTATACTGTAGTGTAACAACACTACAGTCTACCTTTTATTGCCTCCTATAAAGCAGTATCTACTACTCTGATAATATTTTCGTGTGACCGCATTTCTTCGAACATAACAGACGGAGTCTTCATTGCCAGGCTACTACCATGACAACCATGAGTGTTTTCCTTGATTCTCCGAAGGCGTTCCATTTTACACTTCCTAAAGGTTCTCACTACTGCAACGTGAGCTGTGTTGTGTCTGGGCGGAGGGAGGGAGTCCTTGCACCTCCGTCGTGCTGCTAGTATCCGGAGATATGCCACGAAATCTCTATTAACCACCATGTACAGCACTGGGTTAGCTGAAATTTATAGTCACGTTATAAAACATCGCTTGTTCGGGAATTAATAATCTGAGAAATTAATTAATAATAGTTACTAAACTACACTCTGCTACTTTAGTAAATTACCAAACTACACTCTGCTACTTTAGTAAGTTACCAAACTACACTCTGCTACTCTAGTAAATTACCAAACTACACTCTGCTGCTCTAGTAAATTACCAAACTACACTCTGCTACTTTAGTAAATTACCAAACTACACTCTGCTACTCTAGTAAATTACCAAACTACACTCTGCTACTCTAGTAAATTACTAAACTACACTCTGCTGCTCTAGTAAATTACCAAACTACACTCTGCTACTCTAGTAAATTACCAAACTACACTCTGCTACTTTAGTAAATTACCAAACTACACTCTGCTACTTTAGTAAATTACCAAACTACACTCTGCTACTTTAGTAAATCATCAAACTACACTCTGCTACTTTAGTAAATTACCAAACTACACTCTGCTATTTTAGTAAATTACCAAGGCCAAACTACACTCTGCTACTTTAGTAAATTACCAAACTACACTCTGCTACTTTAGTAAATAACCAAACTACACTCTGCTACTTTAGTAAATTACCAAACTACACTCTGCTACTTTAGTAAATTACCAAACTACACTCAGCTGCTCCTTTATAAATTACCAAATGATCCGAGAAAGTAAGCACAGATTCTAACTCGTTCCAGCCAGACCGGGCCACGATCAACTTTGTTGATGTAAGTAAACAAGTGAGTAGCAATACTGGGTGTCCACGTTACTATAGCAACCGAGCATAGCCCTACAACTGTAAGGATACCTGTAAAGATAGTGACTTATTTATTTATTAAATTACTTATTAATTTATTTCTTAATTATTTGCGCGCGCAAATATTATTTTTTTTCATTTTACCAATAAGCCGCGCAATTATCAATTATATTTTATTTTTTTAAATCTGCAATTTTACTGCGCAAACGTTCGAGTTCACGTTCGAGTTCACGCGCACGTGACTCAGTCGAAATTCTTTAAGAGCAGTCAGCAGTCTGCTCCTAACGAATTTCAATTTCAAGGTGTCCAAAACTTATTTCATATTTGGATAACTTGCAGATCGAAATTTAACACATAGTTAATTGAAAACACTACAAGTACAAAGCATATCAGCGCTCGTATTGCTGTATAAATTGATGGTTTTTATATTGTAGCGGGATGTGTTACTGCATACTAGGCCGCGCCGCGCACTCAATTATGCTTCTCGCTTCGTTAGATCAGCAAAATGCGCTACTTAACTGGGCCTCTCCGAGCTGCGAAGAATTGACATCGTTAATTAAATGGTTTTTAGGGTTTAGGACACCGCTCCTACTAAATCGCTCGCTCAAATTTTAAGAAAATTCTTGTGAAAAGGCCCTTTGGGTATGAAATTGATCTGAATCGGTGTATTTTTGGACGCTGATTCCGAATCACCCCCCATGACCTTGATAGTTAATTTTAAAACTATGGCCTGCGCGTCTCAGGTCTCACGCTCACACTGCACGTGTCGATCGTTTTGTACTACAGTACGAGTTCTTTGGTTGTATCGACATTTCTTCCGATTCCGTTTTAAGTTTGCTGCGACATGCGTGTAATTTGTCAAAAAATATGGGCGTGTGCCGTGTAACATAAGGTGTCAGGTTTGCCGCGCGTGTAATCAGTAATTTATCATTCCGTCGACCAGACACCCAAGTAAACCGCCAGCCAGGTCTCACGAGCCGCCTTTGCTTTACTGTATTCTTACAGAGGCAACATGCGACGAGTTCGTTTAACTATATTCCGCACTTTTTCGCACAATTATTTGGAACTTCCCGTACAATTTTTTATAATTTCAGGTATAAAAAGCAACAATTTATCGTAAAGTTTGGAGTTCAGAAATATTGCAGCGAGTTCAGTTGCAAATTAGGGTAAATACAGCTAAAAATTGGGCTTAGTTGGTACTCATTACTTGTCATACGTTGTATGATCCGCCGCGCACGAGTGCGCGGCTCCCCCTGTCATGTATCGTAGTGAAACGACAATGGGGGTCACGAGGTGATACAACTCATTACCATGTCGGCTGCATAATGCATTACCTGGAGCGCGGCCCAGTAACATAATGCATTGAGAACTTAGGAATTAAGTTGTTACCTTTATCACTATCAGTAGAAGAAAATTGTTTTGTAAATCGTGCAATACTCATTTTTTCTTATAGAAAGAATTATTAAACTAACCCCATGTAGTATTGTTTAACTTTTCGCCGCATGTTTGCCACATTTCTCAAATATTCGCCGCACACTAGCCGCACTAATAGTGCCGCACACTAGCTGCATATCAAGCAATTTTAGGCAGAATCAGCTGGGATCGCACTTTTCGCAAAATATGGCCGAACTTATGTGCGGCCTTTTATAGCTGTGCTTGGAGTTTATACATTAGAGTCTAGAGCTTTATTGTATTTTTACCTTTTATAGCTGTGCTGGGAGGTTTGCGTGAAACTGAGCACTTTGCTACTCCTTCAGACATTCTTCTGTTAAGTGCCACTACGACCTAATGTTACTATGGTTACCTAATGTAATTATGGTTACCTAATGTTACTATGGTTACCTAATGTAATTATGGTTACCTAATGTAATTATGGTTACATAATGTTACTATGGTTACCTAATGTAATTATGGTTACCTAATGTAATTATGGTTACAGTAGTGTAAACCATGGAATAATCGCATAAGCCGGTAAACTATACTCACCAATAAAATTAAAAGTAAACTGATCATGAAAATGGAAGGAAGATTTCAATCATCCAACTTCGAAGGGTTGATTTTATTTAAGACGATTTAGTGCGATACTTAGTAAAATTATAATTAACCTATATGACTAAAGAAATTTTTATATCATTATTAGTAATATTATTATGAAACTAACCTCGTTTTCTTGCATTATTTTTATTCTAGCAAGAACGCAGAGACAGATATTTGTAGAGATTACCAGTACAAAGGGCACTACTCCTGCGAAATGTAAATTTTAAATTTTAATTAATGATTTATATTTATATTTATATAATATATAATATATATTTAACTTTGAGCAGGGTTGGCATCTAGATAATATTTAGATAGGATTATCTAGATAAAACCCGTAATTTCTTTATTTACTTATCTAGATAATTTCAAGTAGATACTATTATTCAGGGGTGTACAGGGGTTCGTATACCCCTGCTATTATTAGCACTCTAATAAAAACTATGACACAAAGTGTAGGTACTAATACTACTCCAGTAGCAGGGAGGGGTTCACTGTACTAATACTCATAAGCTTCTGAGTTCATTTCTTGAAGATTTATTATTGCAAAATATCGAATAAACTGCGGCGTGCAGTTTATTTTACGGTGCTCTTCTTATTTTTTAACCATCAATTTATCTTAAATAGTTTGTCTCTCGACACATTTTGGTTAACGGGATCTTTAAAAATCGACAAAACTGCGCTTAATTTAGAAATCGAGTAGTGTTAAAACTGTGTTCTTATTGGTTTATTTGTGTCACGTGATTTTAGAAAAATGTGATTTTAGAAGTTTAAGTAAGCGTTTACCTAGAAGGGTAGAGAGAAGCAGGCGTCTCAAGGGTGAGTTCAGGTGACTTACTCTACACATAGCACTATCTGAAATAGTGAGGTGACTTACTCTACACATAGCACTATCTGAAATAGTGAGGTGACTTACTCTACACATAGCACTATCTGAAATAGTGAGGTGACTTACTCTACACATAGCACTATCTGAAATAGTGAGGTGACTTACTCTACACATAGCACTATCTGAAATAGTGAGGTGACTTACTCTACACATAGCACTATCTGAAATAGTGAGGTGACTTACTCTACACATAGCACTATCTGAAATAGTGAGGTGACTTACTCTACACATAGCACTATCTGAAATAGTGAGGTGACTTACTCTACACATAGCACTATCTGAAATAGTGAGGTGACTTACTCTACACATAGCACTATCTGAAATAGTGAGGTGACTTACTCTACACATAGCACTATCTGAAATAGTGAGGTGACTTACTCTACACATAGCACTATCTGAAATAGTGAGGTGACTTACTCTACACATAGCACTATCTGAAATAGTGAGGTGACTTACTCTACACATAGCACTATCTGAAATAGTGAGGTGACTTACTCTACACATAGCACTATCTGAAATAGTGAGGTGACTTACTCTACACATAGCACCATCTGAAATAGTGAGGTGACTTACTCTACACATAGCACCATCT